TCCGTAGTTTGCTGTGTCTCAGTCTCTGTTGTATATACTTCAGTTTCTTTATCTCCATTGTCCTCTCTCCCCGTACGTACCTCCTTTTCTTGTTTATGTAGATCCTCTGTTGTTCCATTCACTTCCTGTATTTCGTCTTCCTTTCTGTCGTCACTTGACTCCTCCATGTGCTCCTGCACCTCCATCTCCATTTCTGCATTACCCTCCTCTTCAGATTCACATGTGCACCTCGTCCAAGTCTTTTCACAGCTTTGGCACCGCAGGGCTTGACAGTCCCACGCAAAGTGCCCCTGCTCCAGACATGCAAACATATTGAGGGCAGTCCTTTTTTTCATGATTTGTGCTTGCACATATTCTACAGTAACTTTTTTCATTTTACTACTTCTATTCATACTGTCCAGTGTTCTACTTTCAAGCTCAAAGTTTATTTCATCAGCTTCCTCATCGCTTACCTCCTCTTTATTCCTGCTGTCACCGTTGTACATGGATTATTGATTGATGGACAATTTTGTGAGATCAAAAAACTATCCAATAACTTTTCACAGTCCGTCTCATCTTCCATTGTTAGTTCATAGTCAAAATTTTTTTTTTTTTCCCAGTCCAAAGACTTGTAGAATATGTACAGTTTTCCAATTGCAGTCTTTTCTTCCACAGCCTTTATTATCATCATCACAGTTATTTCTTCTGGATTATTTACATTCAACGTTAGAGTTGTTTCTTTTTTATATTCTCTCTGATATTTTGATTGACTTTTGATCTTTTTTAATGTCTCATTTCTTTGACTTGATTCTCGTCTTCCATCATTCTGATCAATTGTTTGTTTACCTTGACTTTTTTGTAGCTCTCCATTTCCTCCACTCCTTAAATTTATTCCATTCTTTTTTTCTTCTTGTGACAATCATTGCTTATGTTTCATTGTTTTCTTTGTGCTTGTCAATGTCATTTCCGTTGTTCCTTTCAGCATTATCTTTATCCATTTTCTCTTGGTCTAATGTCCGATCTTGTTCCGTAGCCATAATATCCGTCATTTTGAAAAAATAAAAATTAAACTTATAAACTTTAAATAATTATCAAAAGAAAATACAATATAGAAAAACAAAAAAATAAGGGAGAGCCTTTCTCTCCCAACTGCCAACTCACACTTCCTGGAACGTACCAACTCAGTGCGCAGACAGGGTGGTATGGCCGTAAGCAGGGACTGCCACAAAGAGTGGGCTATTTAAAGATCAGCCACTCTATAGGCCAGTGTATTAGATTAAAGATTAGCCACTCTATAGGCTAGTTTATTAGATAATTAGTGAAGAAAATGCTAAAGCTTACAGCACCTGGTATTCCCAGGCGGTCTCCCATCCAAGTACTGACCAGGCCCGACCCTGCTTAGCTTCCGAGATCGGCCGCACTTTTTTTTTATTTTATTTTTTTATTATAAATTATTTTTAAAATTCATACAATATACATTTTATACATTTTAAGCACATTTAAATACATTAACAAATACAATCTAGCAATTTCACAATTTCTATTTCTATTACAAATCTTCATAATTTCACTTCAAATCCATTCTTAGTTATTTCTACATAGGGATTATTTTCAAGGAATATTTTTTCAAAAATAGATCTTTTACCTTTCTTCTTTACAATGTATTTCCAAAGCTTGTATATACATGCTCAACTTCTTTCTAAAATAAGTCCACAATTCTAAAGTTTTTTTTCCTTCTCTTACCAAGTTTCTTCTTACCCAAATAACATATCTTGCAACAATTAAGAAAACATTGACAATACCGCACTTTTTTTTTATTTTATTTTTTTATTATAAATTATTTTTAAAATTCATACAATATACATTTTATACATTTTAAGCACATTTAAATACATTAACAAATACAATCTAGCAATTTCACAATTTCTATTTCTATTACAAATCTTCATAATTTCACTTCAAATCCATTCTTAGTTATTTCTACATAGGGATTATTTTCAAGGAATATTTTTTCAAAAATAGATCTTTTACCTTCTTCTTTACAATATATTTCCAAAGCTTGTATATATATGCTCAACTTCTTTCTAAAGTAAGTCCACAATTCTAAAGTTTTTTTTCCTTCTCTTACCAAGTTTCTTCTTACCCAAATAACATATCTTGCAACAATTAAGAAAACATTGACAATATTTTGATTTTCACACTTTTCATTTACACCAAATAAAAAAACACAATCCCAATCTTGTTCATTTTCAATTTCATTTCTTTTTTTCCCCAAAAAAACATCTATAACATTTTTCATTTTTGCTTTAAATGTTTGGATTTCTTTACATGATATAAACATGTGTAAAATACCTTCATTCTTTTCATTGCATACTTTACATAATGCATTCTCTGTTATTCCTATTGTATGCAATTTCATTTCAGTAAAAATTATATTATGTCTTATTCTGAAATCAAGATTTTCCATTTTAACATCCATGTACCATTTCCATAAGTTTTTCAACAGCATTTTCTCATCTAAATTAATAAAACTTTTTTTCCAAAAATTATTAACTATTGGTTCTTTAAAAACTTTCTTTCTCAAACATACATAAAAATCTTTTACAGATTTACAACATAAATTTTCCATATTATTATTTCCCTTCATTAATACCTGCATTTTATTTTGATTCTTTTCTCCATTTCTCTCTATTTTATTTAACCATTCTTTCGGTATAGCCTCTTTCATTTGTTCATACTGTTGCTTTAAACTCTTAACATTAAATTCTTCTTTTGTCTCTTCCACTCCATCAATTATTGCTTGTATAGGCAAAAATCCTTCTTTCACTTCGTATAAAACATCCCTTACTTTTTAAAACCCGCCTGTATCCAAAGTTTAAAATATAGTTCTTTGCCCTTATACAAAATGTTTTCATTTAAAAATAATGGCTGATTTAAAAAATCATCCTTCCTTTCCAGCTTAAAACCTACATTTGGTAGAAAATCTTTCCATGCTTCCAGAATTTCTTTATAAAACTCAGATATTCATTTGATCATTTCATGTTTTAATTTCATACACAATACATAATCCCCAATTATCATATTCCCACATTTGTTCAAATGAAAACTCATTGTCTTCCATTTCTGCTTCATTCTCTTCATTAAAAAACTTTTTAACGGTTTTAATTCTAAAACTTTTTTCCTTTAGCTCAGGATCTTGTAAACCTAACCCACCATCTTCTACTGCTCCGATTATCGTATTATATGCTATTTTTGGTGGTTTAGAATCCCATATAAAATTTAAAACCGCATTTTTAACCCTCCTGGCAATCCAAATCGGCATTGGTACCACCCCTAATACATACCACATTTTTACCAATATCAATGCACTAAAAGCCAATACTTTTCCTTTCAATGTTAATTGTCTTTGTTTCCAATAATTTAAAATCCTTTCCATTTTCCCAACCACCTCTTCCCACATTAAATCTCTCGCTACTTTTTCATTCTTTCCAATCAATATCCCTAAAATCTTCATATTCTCCTCTTCTTTAAAAGAATAAAACTGTTGCACTTTCTCTCCAACTTCCCCAATACTCATAAAACCTGTTTTCTGTATATTTACCTTCGCTCTTTCTTTCCCTCCATACATCCACTAAATCACATTTATCATATTTCTTAATTCCTTTCTTCCTCCATCAGATTTAAAAATCATCCCTTCAGCAATATCTATCTTACTAAAAATTATATTAAAATCACCTATTATTAAAAAACGTTTCCACTCCGCAACAATGTCATTCTCCTAAAAAATAACACTTTCTCTTTTTCAATCACTGGTTCATGTATATTGTATATAATAATACTTTCTTCTCCCTCTTCTATCTTCACTGCTATACCTTTTCCTTCTTTATCATCATGAACCACTTTTATTTTTTCCCCCACACCTCTTTTAATTAAAATAGCAACCCCTCACCCTTTATTCCCATCCCCATTATTATAAAATATTTCACCACTCCATTTCCTCTTAAAGCCATCAATTAAATATTCTCTCCAATTTGTTTCCTGTAGTAATATTACATTTGCTCTTTTGCATGTTTCTTTCAACTTTTCAAATTTATCTTTTGTAACTAAACCTCTTACATTCAATACTGCTATTTTTAACAGCATTAAATGCAAAAATGAAAAAAATAATAAAAAACATATCCACTTCATTCAATATTTTCTTCCATATCCATTAAAACCTCAAAACTGTTTTCATTGCATTCTTTTCTATATGTCCCTTTTTCTTTCAGTTTTTCTCTTAATTGTCTTTTTTTTGCCATGTCAAGATTTGGGGTTACCTTTAGGGGTCTTCTTCTGGTCATTGTCACTTTTTCCCACTCTTTTTTCCCCCTCTCCTTATTTTCTATCTCTGTTTTATCCGATTTCTCCTCCTCCACGTCTTGTTGTTCTTCTATTCTATTTTCTGTTTCTTGCCACGAGCCCATTTGCATCTGTGAATCCTCCTTGTCCTGTGCATTTTCTGCTCCATTTTTTCCTTGTATCTGCTCCTCCTCAGTAATCTTTCCACTTGTGCTTTCCACTTCCTCTCTTGTCTCTGGATTTTGTTTGTCTTCTTGACCCCTTTCCTCCTCATGTACTACTTTTTCTCCTCCCTCCTGGTAATAGGTTTTCACCTGACGATAATAGGTTTTCACCTGACGATCGTGTATGATCTTGAAATACTGCATTACTTCAGCTGTTTCAAATTTTGTGCTGTAGGGCAGTGAAACAATTTCTTTCGGGATCTTAACTCTACCAAAACGGGTTCCATCTGTGATTGTTGTTCCTGGATAATATCTTCTTTTCACTGCAGATATTGTTGTTACTCCCCACACTCTCAACTTGTCTCGTATCTCCTCATCCGTTATATACACTGGTAAGTGCATGAATGAAACTACACATTCTTTTGTTTGTAAGTTTCTCACCTCTGTCATCACATCCGACCAATCAAACACACAATATATATTTTGTTAGCTATATTTAACAAATACTCTGTAACACCCCATCTGTCCATTACTTCTTTACAATCTGGACAACAGACTGCATCACAATCTCTTATAAAATGACCTTTTTCTCCGCATTTGTGACATTTAAAATCAGGACAATCCATTAATATATGTCCAGGATTCATACATAATCGACAGGTTTTCACCTGACGATCGTGTATGATCCTGAAATACTGCATTCCTTCAGCTGTTTCAAATTTTGTGCTGTAGGGCAGTGAAACAATTTCTTTCGGGAACTTAGCTCTTACAAAACGTGTTCCATCTGTGATTGTTGTTCCTGGATAATATCTTCTTTTCACTGCAGATATTGTTGTTACACCCCACACTCTCAACTTGTCTCGTATCTCCTCATCCGTTATGTACACTGGTAAGTGCATGATTGAAACCACACATTCTTTTGTTTGTAAGTTTCTCACCTCTGTTATCACATCCTTGATCATCAGTCCATCCATTAACTCCTCACAGGCTTCTTCGTCAGTTAATGTAATCTCATATTCCTTGTTAATCCTTGGTCTCACTGCCAGCACCTTACTCGGTCCAACTTTGTTAATCACTGCTTTTATCACATCCTCCGCTTTCCCATCTTTGATCTCCGCCACATTCACAATCACTGTTGCTTCCTTTGAATATTTTCTTTGTATTTCATTGTTCTTTCTTTCATCAGTCCTCTTTTCTTCTTCAGTTGTTTCCACTGATCCTTTTGTTCTTCCTCTTTGTCCGTTGTCCTTTTGTTGATCTTTGTTAGTATGTTCGTCCTCCTTTGTATCCAAATCCGTTGTTTGACGTACATCCATGTTGAGCCTTTCCAAAAGCACCAATCCACTCAGGACCCCAAGCAGATAAACCCTGCTCAGGGCCCCAGAATTATTCAGGAATTAAACAAAAATAAACTATACTATTAACAAATAATTAAATCAAATCAGAAACCAAATAAAATAAAACAATTGAGAGAGCCTGTCTCTCCCTACTGCCACCTTTCACTTCCTGGATCGTACCAACTTGGTTACTCTCACAGGGGCACACACACAGGGTGGTATGGCCGTAAGCGGAGAGTGCCACAAAGAGTGGGCTATTTCAAGATCAGCCACTCTATAGGCCAGTGTATTAGATAAGTAGTGAAGAAAACGCAAAAGCTAACAGCACCTGATATTCCCAGGCGGTCTCCCATCCAAGTACTAACCAGGCCCAACCCTGCTTAGCTTCCGATATCAGACGAGATTTTTTGTAATTTTTTTTTTTATTTAACAAATTTTAAAAAATTACATTAAAAACATTGTACACATTTTTCACAGAACCAAACCTATGAGAAAGGTAAGAGACAACCACAATAACAATAACAATCATTCAAATTTCTCCCATATCCAAGTTACACCATCTATTTTATACTCTAACATCGTGTTTCCTTCTACAAACATTTTAATAAAATCATCCTCTTTGTCCTTCATTAAAAAATATTCACATAACAACTTCACAGTAAGTTGCATTTTATTTTTAAACAGAATCCACACATCAACTTCTCTTTTTTCATATTTTGCTATATTTCTTCTTAACCATATTGCATGTTTTGCAATTGTTACCAAAAAACTCCCTGTTTATCTATGTAATTTCATATTCTTTTCCTTGCCTTGGTCTGACTGCTAGAATTTTTCCTCCTCCAATCCTTTCGTTCACTGCTTTGATGATGTCCTCTGCTCTTGCATCTCTCTGATCCGCCATGTCAACAATTACCATAGCCTCTTTAGAATAAATCCTCTTGTTATAATCCATTTGTCCTTGTCCATCTCGTTGTCTTTTATCCGTTTCTTTGTCTGTTAGCACTCATCTTCCTCCTGCCATTCCCACTTCTTTGCCTTGTAATCCATCCATTTTTCAAAAACAAATAAGAAAAATTACTCCCCAGACAGCAAACTGCTGCTGGGAAGTGTAAAGTCTCTAACAAACAAAAACAAATAAGATGCAAAAAAACTTTACTCACAGATAAAACAAAACAAAAAATACAAGGTGAGCCTCTCTCACCTACTGCCTACTACAAAACTGCCAAGTCACTTCCTGTGTAGCCCTCTAGCGAAAGATCAGCCACCCTATAGGCCGGTCTATTAGATAAGTAGTGAAGAAAACAAAAAAATCTTACAGCACCAGGTATTCCCAAACTGTCTCCCATCCAAGTACTAGTCAGGCCCGACCCTGCTTAGCTTCCGAGACCAGACGAGATCGGGCGCAGACAGGGGTGGTATGGCCATACACGGGGACTGCTACAAAGAGTGGGCTATTTAAAGATAAGACACCCTATAGGCCAGTGTATTAGATAAGTAGTAAAGAAAATGCAAAAGCTTACAGCACCTGGTATTCCCAGACGGTCTCCCATCCAAGTACTAACCAGGCCAGACCCTGCTTAGCTTCCGAGATCAGACGAGATCGGGTGCAGACTTTTTTTTGTGTTTTTTTTTATTGAAAAAATACAACCAATACAATTCATTGTAAAATCATTGGATGTGCTTCAAGGATCACAGAGACTTTCAGCATTAGAGTTAAGTATATCATAATAAATACATAAAAAAAGAAATAAACATTCCATCAGGGTTTTTTTTAAAGGTCTTTTTTCCCTTTTTTTTTCTCTCTTTTAATTTTTTCTTCTAAAAAGACATCTCCAGTCCCATGTCCTCCAAAACCTTTAAACCCCCCTGTGTAAAAGTTCTATAAAAAACATCCAGCTTTTCCTCAGAATTGAAATAATAAAACAAACATTGTACATATTTCTCCACTTACAGTAAAAAACACTTTGTGTCGTATAAAATACTCTTAAATTCTCCAATTTCGCCTGTATTCATTTCCCATTTATATTCCCCCAAATACTTTTTTCTTCAACATCGG